GTGAGCGCGCCCCCTCCCTCCCCCGTGGCACAGGCTGAAGAGTTGGCAGCGGGAGCAGGGGCCGGCCGGCAGGCAGGCAGGCGAGCGCGGTCCCTCGCAGTCCACGCGCTGTGTCCCCCCACCCCGCGCGAAGCGTCAGAGGCGGGATGTGGCGTCGGAGGTGGGAGCCATGGGACACGGCCAATGGAAGGCAGGGAAGGCCGTGACGGACCAGTCAGCCGGCCAAACACTGTAGGGGCGCATTTTCTCTCCTGTGCGTGAGTCTGCGTCTTACTGCTTTATAATATAGGGAGGATTCTCACTCGTGCTCATTCATTCAGGTTTCTTCTAATGTGTTTTTAATGTCTTGTCTTCTAACTGCCTCAGTATGATTTAATTCATACCATACATACATCATGTTTCAGATAACCCTGATGAAGCTGTGGAGAAACAAGTCGGGTATTTTTCTTATTCCATCATTAGATTTCGGGCTTCTTGGCATTCTTGCTTTCCTCACTTGTAAGCGCCTGTTTCTTCGAGGATCCCCCCCCCCGTTCTGCACGTGCTTTGCTCCCTCTAGTGGTCGATTCGGTATTACTCCGGTTTATGCCCAGCATAAAAACCTACAGATTTAAATTGCAGGCTTTTATGAGGACATAAGCCAGTGTAATATGAAATCGACTAGAGGGAGGGAAAACATGTGCAGAACAGACCCCTCACCCCTGGCAAAGAAACAGGAATTTACAAGCGAGGTAAATCAGAATGTGGAAGAGCCCTTTCACTTTCAGACCGCTCTTATCAGCATTTGTCTTTGCCTTTTTCCATCCTATATATTAGCCACATGTGTGGTGATTTCAGAGTTAGCCCAACAAAATAAGCAGTCCAGATGGCATGAGGGGAGCCAGTTTGGTGTAGTGATTAAGAGCGTGGACTCTAATCTGGGAGAACCGGGTTTGATTCCCACTCTTCCACATGCAGCTGCTGGGTGACCTTTGGTCAGTCACGCGTTCTCTCGGAGCTGTTCTCTTAAGAGCTCTCTCAGCCCCACCTACCTCACAGGGTGTCTGTGGTGGGGAAAGGAGATTGTAAGCCGCTCTGAGACTCCGAGGAAAGGGCAGGGTATAAATCCAATCTCTTATCTTCTTCTTCTATATTTTAAAATGTAGCATGAGGGATCAGTGGTTGCAGAATGCAATCCAAATGGTACATCACAGTGTTTCGGAAGACACATGAGTGAATTGCTTGAACTCCTTGCTGCTTGAGGCTGCAGAATGCAGTTCGAGCAGCACTCTACGATGTTGCCAAGGATCCTGGGCTACGATGCTTTGGATGTTGTGGTACAGGCTCAGAGAAGTGAATCCAGGGTTCGCTGAAACACCAAATAGGATGGAGTTGTGACACAGGACCTGAGTTATGCTACAGGATTATCTGAGGTACAGATCTCTGACTGTATATTGTCACTGGTTGAACTGGCAAAATGTCTTTTTGTTCTGTTTTGTGGTGTGTGCGTCCGGGTGTATGTGCGTGCTTGGAAGTCATGATTGACTTCCGGCGACCCCTAGTGGGGCTTGGACGTTCAGAGAAGTGGCTTGCTGTTGCCTGCCTCTGCATCCCAGCCCTGGTATTCCTTGGAGGTCGCCCTTCCAAGTACTCGCCAGGGTCGGCCCTGCTGAGCTTCTGAGATCTGATGAGACCGAGTTTGCCTGGGCTTTCCAGGTTGGGGCCTGAACTGGCAAAATGTCTTGAGTTGGTCTTGGGTGCTTTGTTTTCCCCACAAAACGGAAAAGGTGCCTTGCTCTTCCATGGCATGTCTCTGTTTGGGATGTCGTGAGAACCTAAAGTGGATGTTGTAGTCCTGCTGATGAGGACAATTATCCCCAAACTAATTATCTGTCAATTTCTATCACTTTTTCTTTGGGAAGAAAAACTACCTATTGGCAGCTTGATGTGCAAACCCTTGCACATGACAATCCAGGTTTTAAGAAAGGGGATGAACCCCCACTCGTGCATCCCGTCGGAAGTAATGGACAACATCTTCATTTGGATGTGCATCTGATTTGTGATGGCAGTTGATGATATCTGAAACAGTCTGTATGGACCAGGGGTCATTTCCTGCAGGAGCGCACAGGAGCAGAGCTCCGGCAGTAAAGAGCCCAGGGGGCGGGCACATGCAACAAGCCCTGCCCCCTGCTCCCAGCAGCCCTCGGTCAGAGCAAGAAGCAGCCAGGTAAGTTGCAGAGCTCCCCCTCCAAAACAGTCCAGTGGCACCTTTAAGACCAAGTTTTATTCAGGTACAAGCTCTCCCTCCTCTGCGAGGGCAGATCTGCACATTCCCCCTCCCCCCATAGCTAGCGATCCAAAACAGTCCAGTGGAGCCCGAGTGGTGGGTGTTGCCTTCTGACACACTTCCAATGATGCCAGGGGGTGTAGCATATGCAAATGAGTTATGCTAATGAGCCCCTGCACCTCTTTTTCTACAAAATGACCCCTGGTACGGATCATGGGAGAGAAAGATGGAAAATTCTGGGCAAAATAAATAGACAGGTTCCGTACATACTCCATTTCCTGACTCTCCTTTTATGTTATGTAATGAAATAATGAACAAGGAATGATCATCTGGGCAAGTTCTGTGACCTGTTTTAATTTAGGGTGAGGTTTACTAACTACTTCCTGGCAACCTAGAAGTTCGAAAGCAAGAAATTGCAAGTAGATAAATAGGTACTGCTTCGGTGGGAAGGTAACAGCATTCCGTGCACCTCAGCGTCTAGTCATGCCGGCCACATGACCACGGGCACTGGCTCTTCGGCTTGGAATTGGAGATGAGCTCTGCCCCCTAGGGTCGGATTCGACTGGCTTTCGAGCAAGGGAAACCTTTACTTTTACCTTGCTAACTGCTGCATTGCCAGTCCAACATTATACATAATATACCTTTATGCGGGCTTCAGAGCCATCTGTTGCAGACGGACAGCCCAGTGCTTATGTCCAAAACTGCTGGGCATCTGTTTAACCAGATGAAACACAGAAATAAGTAACCCTACCCTAAGCAGATTTTGGTGCTAGAAAGGAAGTGGGTAAACGTCTAGTGGTACGTGTGTATGAAGTACCGTCAAGTTGCAGAGGACTTCTGGTGATCCTGTATGGTTTTCAAGGCGAGAGATGTTCAGAGGTGGTTTGCCAGTGTCTGCCTCTGCGTAGCGACTAGGGTTGCCAGCTCCGGGTTGGGAAATACCTGGAGACGTTGGAGGTGGAGCCTGAGAAGGGCGGGGTTTAGGGGATGGACTTCAATGCCGTAAGAGTTCACCTTCCAAAGTGGCCATTTTCTCCAGGGGAACCGACCTCTGTTGCCTGGAGATGCATTGTCATCCCTGGAGCTCTTCAGCCACCAGCTGGAGGTTGGTATTCCTAGACTTCCCTAGTAGCCTTCCACCCAAGTACTAACTAGGACCGACCCAGCTGAGCTTCCGGGATCTGGCTAGCCTGTGATAATAGTCTGAATGAGCCAAAACTTGATCAAGGCACATCTTAAACAAACCTTCTAAAGAGTTTTTTTTAAAAATATATTAAAAATAACAATAAAAATAAATAGGGCATAGTTTCCTGTCCTGAAAAACACAAAAGGCTCAACATCTGACAATAAATGGGCAGTTCTCTCAGTGGAGGGGGGTAAGCAGTGGGGTACCGCAGGGATCAGTACTTGGTCCACTGCTTTTTAACTTGTTCATTAATGATTTGGAGTTGGGAGTAAGCAGTGAAGTGGCTAAATTTGCGGATGATACGAAGTTGTTCAGGGTGGTGAAAAACAGTGAGGATTGTGAGGCACTCCAAAGGGATCTGTCAAAGATGGGCGAGTGGGCGTCAACATGGCAAATGGGGTTCAATGTGGCCAAGTGCAAGGTGATGCACATTGGAGCCAAAAATCCTAAATATAAATACACGTTGATGGGGTCTGAACTGGCAGAGACTGATCAAGAGAGAGATCTTGGAGTTGTAGTAGATAACTCACTGAAAATGTCGAGACAGTGTGTGACTGCAATAAAGAAGGCCAATGCTATGCTGGGGATTATTAGGAAGGGTATTGTAAACAGATCAGCCAATATCATAATGCCCCTATATAAATCAATGGTGCGACCTCATCTGGAATACTGTGTGCAATTCTGGTCACCACACCTTAAAAAGGATATTATAGCTTTAGAAAAAGTGCAGAAAAGGGCAACTCGAATGATAAAAGGGTTGGAACACTTTCCCTATGAGGAAAGATTAAGGCGCTTAGGGCTCTTTAGCTTGGAGAAATGACGACTGAGGGGTGACATGAATGAGGTTTATAAGATTATGCATGGGAAACAGCAGGTAGAGAAAGAGGTACTTTTCTCCCTTTCTCACAATACAAGAACTTGTGGGCACTCCATGAAATTGCTGAGCGGTCGGGTTAGAATGGATAAAAAGAAGTACTTCTTCACCCAAAGAGTGATTAACACTTGGAATTCACTGCCACAGGAAGTGGTGGCGGCTACAAGCATGGACGACTTCAAAAGGGAATTAGATAAGCATATGGAGCAGAGGTCCATCAGTGGCTATTAGCCACAAGGTATAGATAGGGACTCTGGGGCAAGGGATGCTCTGTATTCTTGGTGCTTGGGGGGGGGGGCAACCATGGGAGGGCTTCTAGTGTCCTGGCCCCACTGGTGGACTTCTTGATGGCATTGGTATTTCTGGCCACTGTGTGATACAGAGTGTTGGACTGGATGGGCCATTGGACTGATCCAACATTGGCATCTCTTATGTTCTTATGTATGTTAATAGCACTACAGATAAGATTAGAATCCAAATACAAAAGAACCCACTCAGGAAACAGGAAACCTCCTCAGGAAACAATCCATATACAAAAGAACCTCCTCAGGAAAGCTCCTCCATTAGCATGTTCACCGCCTGGGGAACTCCTACAAGATAATGGCTCAGCCCTACCCCACCTTCCTGAGTAGATATAAATTACCTGCCTACCATTTTTCTTCTCACCTTGACACAGAGAATACTCCATCTTTCTGTGTTATACCTCTGAGGAAGCCAGTCACAGCTACTGGCGAAATGTCAGGTCCTACAATGCCAAGACCATGGTCATGCAACCCGGAAAATCCACAACAGCTAATAAACCTTCCAATTATTAACCATTGTTATAATAAGGACTGCAGGAGAAACAGACAAATATATACTTTTCTGGCCCTGACTATTATCTGTAAAATATCTTAGCCATCCTTAAAAAACCCCCAAAAATCTATCTTGGTGTTACTTCACACATTCACATAGGAAGTGCCTAGAAAAGGCCTAGGCCCTCAAACTTTACTATCATTTTTTGTACTAAATGGTTTTAACTGCCAAATCCCTCTTTAGAAAGCAGTGCCCATGTTCTGGGTTTAGAGTATATTCAGGATTCCTGTTAGGTCTTGAGTTTTGCCAAGAAACTACAAAGAGATGGATTAGAAATGTACCTGACACCTCATGCCTTTTTCTCCCAAAAGTTATGCTTCCAGTGATGTCTCTAAACTAATTAGAATTGATTTATTATGGATCAGGTACCTTATCAGGTGAAGAAAGAAATTACCATGGACAGTCAAAAGGTTCAGAGGTCAATATAGAATAGCAAAATCAATTTGCATTGATTAGACAAAAGGTCCATTTTACAGAGCCCAGAGGATTAACTTTTAAGCAAACATCTTTGAACTGTAAAGACAGAATTTGTGTCTGAAAAGTGTAAGCAGAACAGCTTTATTTATTTTTTCTAAAAAAATACTTGGTATATTTAAATAAGAAAATAAGGTAAAGTAGTGGTTTAACCTATCTGGATGTTTACTTTTATTTCTGAATCCTCCACAGGATTATTGTACAATTCATTTAAAAGCATTATGAAGAGGAGGCAATTGTTTAATTCATCCCTTATGTCAATCTGTTCATGAGTTTTCATTCAGGTGAGGTGACCGACCGGCCTCTCAGAAACTGAAGAAAATATGCCCAGAGGATTGAACTAATCCTGTCATTTTGTCTGATGAAATATTTACTTGACACATGCATGATACTTTTTTTTGGGGGGGGGGGTAATGAGGCCTTTTCCCTTCCCGTGGAAGTATGGTTGCTAACAAATGTGAAAGACGCAGCAATAATGGATCCTGTCCGTTGTGTGGTGAGGCACAGATACCATGGTGGCATCAGAATTTTCCCTTTACAAAATAAATAAATATTTGGGGAGAGAAAAAAAGCCAGTCTACACCGTGCTACCCCACACCATTTCTTTCTGAAGGTCACCGTGAGGGGCTACGTGCCTTTGTTTACGCAGGTATCTGGGGCCTAGAAATGTGTGTGTTCCGTACTGGTTCCCGCAGACCGATCCTGTCAGTGACGGTGCATTTTAGGGGCACACGGAAACCTTCTCCTCTTGCCACAGGTTTAAACTTCCTGTGTCGGAGGCTTCTTCCACTGGGGGAAAACTGCCACCATGCAGAACCGTTCTATGGGATCCAATCCTATCTTTGGCAGTTACGTTTTCATGTAGGATTTGGTCACAAACCTTCCACCATCCTTTTTCGCAGGAAGTTTTAAGTTTTTTGAAAAATGAAACAAAGCAAAACAACACTTGTCTTACCTTCAATGGCAAGCATTGCTC